TAAGCGCCGAAGATTATCATGCCCGGTCGGCCGGCAGGTCGGTCGATTGACGAGCTCGTCACGTTCCGAATTGAACGTCCCTTCCTATTGTAAACGAAGAGGACGACGGCGAAAAAAAGGAGGGGAAACACCGATAGCGACGGGTCGCACGATGCGGCAGTACGCGTCGATGAGGGAGAAAAAGTGCCATCACGGGTGCGGAAAGGCGGAAATTCGGGTCCGATCGAAGTGAAAGGCGAGCAGGCGAATGCTTTAATGCGCGTTTAATACACATACACACGTATTACGTTAGTTGCGACGCGGCCGATATCTGCGACCGGAAATTCGGGTGAGAAGCAGGGTCAAGAAAACGTAAGGAATGCATCGTAAGTGCGATCCCGCGAAGAGATTCGCGAAGAAAGGAGGAAGTGCCGGGAGAGTGAAAGGCGGGGATCGGAGAATTTAAACGACCGAAGAGAGAGAGAGAGAGAGAGAGAGATAAACGCGAGCTCGACGCACGTGCACGTTGTATCTCGTTGCGCACGTAACATTCGTTGCTATCTCATATCGCACTTTAACAGGAATCGTAATACCGGAATAAAACAAGCCTGGTTCCGAGCGATGCGTTCGTTCGTTCACAAAACGACAAAGCGAAACAAATATGATGTAACATCGCGAATATTGATCTCGATGTGTCGTGATATAATAAAAGTGGACACTATGAGCGAGTATTTGCATCCATTCAATATTTAGCGAACGACGCAGGCTCGATAAAGAGGACGGTCCATCTCGGGCCGCAACCCACGATCAAGCGACGCGATATCCCAGCGTTACGCAATACATTTGTCTGAATATCAATAATGTTGCATGTCGCGAATGAAATTCAGTCAGTAGTGCGCTCGAAATGCGACGTATTTGAGCGGAGGATATCAACTCGTCTCTGAATTATTTCGTTTTATGATAACATACGATACGTGTTATCGACGACACGAGCGTGCAAATTACGTATGACGGACTGCGCGATGACGTATTACTTAATAAGAGAATCCCGTAAATAAGTCCGGGTCCGCAATAGGTGTAACAAACCTTTGACCTTTTACGGGGTGTTCTGTGCACCAAAAATTAACGTACTTCCTGGCAAAAGCAGTTTCCAGCATTATTGCGACTTTTGGCGGGGCGGAAAAAGTTTTGTCAGAAATTACATTTTATCGCTTCGAGCAAAAGGCTAAAAGCTCACACTACCGCCTACTGTGGATCCAGACCTAACGTGACACGAACTTCCACGAAATTTCCGTCGAAGAGAGACTCAGTCTGATATTCGCGAGAAGAAAAATAATATTAAAAAATGAAAAGAAAAAGGAAAGAAGAACCTGACGTTGAAACATCTGGCGGCGGTGGCGGGGAAAATTAATTAAGGCGCCCGAGCTTTTCGCGCAACGACGAGTGTATAACATCGCGCGCTAATAACAGCACTCGGAAGATTTTCAATTTTCGGAGCGCTTTTCCCGTGCACGCTGCTCTCCCGAGATGTCGTACCTCACGGCGTGTCGCGCACGACAACGTACGTGTCACTTGAATTAAACGAGCTTTCGTTCTTGCGCGAAACAACCTGTTGACTACGTAATCAACGGCGTGTGTGACGTGCCGTGCGCTCGCTCGCGCGTTATATTTGCACATCGCGCGACGACGCTGCATCAGGAGCGTTTTATAAGGTCTTGACAAATCTGTTTAAGATTCCCGCGACACCTCCCTCAAACAGCTGACATAAATCGACACAATGTTATCTATCTCCGTGCAAACACTGTTAAAACGATTAAGAGGAGATTGCAGGAGGGGAACGGGGGGAGAGGATGGGACGTGAATACGCGCTTAAACCGCGACGACGTTTTTTCTCTGGCGCAATGACTCGCGAGCGCGCGAATTATTCCGCTCGCGCCATTTCGTTGGCATTTGTAAAAAAAGGGGGGAGGGGGAAGAAAAGAGAGGAAGGGAGAGAGGAAAAAAAAAAAGAAGCACTTGTTGCGACCAACTTACGCGCGTATTTTTAGACCCAACGGGGCTACCTTCGCTACGACGACGACGCGATATATATTTTTCCCGAGCGAGACGATAGTGAATCAATCTGAGGCCCCCGTAAACGCGCTCTCCCGCTTCGATCACGCTGGTTGCGCGCCGCCGCGACCGGACTGCGAAGGGAGAAAAATGACGGTCGATTTCGCGATCTCGTAAATCGTCGTCTTCGTCGTCGACGATCAATGGAAACGACGCAGCGACAACGTCCGTCGACCGTCGCGTTCATCTCGCATTCGTTCGATATCGCGCAAGCGGAAACGGCGCACAATATAATTTAATCCGTGCAAATACTAAGTTTGTAGACTTCGACTTGTTTGCAAACTTATCATTAGTCATAATTTGATCTGGACAATTAGACGTTAGTCACATGGAGAATTTTCCGTCCGGACGAAATCATCGCTCGTCCATCTCGCGTGTTATCCTCGTGCGCGCGTGCACAATAGCGCGTCTTTTTATCCTCGATAAATTTCCCAGGAAACTTTTTTCGTCTCCCTCCCGCCCGGTCTTCTCCACTCTCTCGCTACTCCCGGATGTAAACGCCGACGAAGAACTATCGATGAAATTACGGCCTTCATTGTGTCGTAAACATATCGAAGAGACACACGTATAGATATGTATCCCAGCCGGCGAGAGACCGTTTTCTTTTTGCGCGTGAAAATAAATCGGACGATTAAGCGAAGCGCCTCCTGCTACCTCCTTCTCTTCGGCTCGGCAGCCGGTTGCGTAATCGCACGATACTCTCTCGCGTTACGGCGTAATAATTGTTTCACCATTGCCGCGGGAATGCTCGTTAAAAGGCACGGTAAACAAGTCGGCGGCGGCGCGCGCGGATCTAATGCACCGCCTCGCGCGATCGCACGTAACGGACGAATTAACGTACGTAGATTGTCGGCGATCCGCCGATTCGAGACACACACGCGTCCCCCGACCTTGACTGATCTATTCCCGCGAAACGGCCGATTCCTCGGAATATATGTGCACACACACGATGGCATAACACGCGCACGCACGTCAGTTGTAATTCAATTTTCTTACCCCACATTGTAACGAACCTCGCCTCGACGATTTAAATGCGAGTCGCGGGCTCTCGGGACCGCGTCGATGTATTTTATAACCGGCGAAACGATCTGTACGATTTCGCAACAGTCTTCCGAACGCGAGCCAAAGGCCCGAGCTTCGCCTCTTCGTCGCATTCTGTAGATGCGTCGAGTTTTTTTTTTTTTTTACCACGAAGTTGGTAATGCTGTAATTGACTTTGTTGGATTCCGTAACGGATCAGATAATATTACTAATCATCAGCTACTTCATCAACCTTTACGCGACTATTTTCTTGTAAACAATATTTCTTTATATTTAATGAGAGGATTACTTTCAATTTCAAGTGAAAGTTCTGAGTGTGTGTTGAAGAAATAGTAAATACAAATGAATATATCCTAATTATTTAGAATATAATATGTATAATAAAAAAAAAAAAATATATATATATATATAGAATTAAATTGATTTTATATATTAATTAATTTTATATGCCGAAAATTTTCTCGAAATTCTTGTTGGAGTTACAAAACTACCAACTTTGTAACTGAAAAGATTATTTTCAACATATCTAACGGAAGGCACTTTGCATGTATGTTCGCGAATTCGATCCGTATCTGTTTGGAACAGACGTCGCCGTGTCGTCGTAAATCGGCTCGAAGGATTCAGAAAGGTTAGTCCCGGTTCCGCGTCTGAGAGACGTCATAAGCTAATTCGAGTTGCAAAGTGAAAGTGAACTCTGCAACCAATATCCTACAATTATCTCCGAAGAACGGGCGCGCGCTGATTCCGCGGCGCAATGTAGAATAGATGCATCGGCGAATGGATCGATCGGTCGATCGCTGAGCCAGCAGCAGCGGTGAATAGCCACTGAATTCATACACTGCTTATGTAAAGTCGTAGGAATACGTTCTTTTCCTGAGTGAGACGCGATATTATCGCGGTTTTCGATAATTACAGAACGTCCATCAACACCAGTGGGAGCGGGGAGGGGGCAGACCGATGTTTGCCAAACTAATTATTTTCCATTCGCGGAAATAATTGTTATCCGACGATCCCTCGCGATTCCGGCAGCCTCGATATTTGCCCACTCATTATTCATCCCGATTAATTACACACGTCGCGTCCGATTGACAGCCTCCGCGAATTCAAACATCACGCTACGAGAACCGTTGATGGTACTTACTGGGACGAGAGAGTTCGAGAAAAGTTGGAGCAGTAGTTCGACCGGCCGGTGCATTTACCCTCCCGTGTTTTCGCGGAGGGTGCATCGACACCGCGCGCAGAAAAGTTCCACTCGGACTCGGCGAAAGGCAGGTAAAGGAGATTTGGCTAGGGTTGTGCGCGTGCGCCGCTCGTCACACTTCTAGAAGCAGCGCGAGCATCGCTTCTCTCGGCTCGCGAATAAGTGCCAAGACAGCCGTGTTCGCACAACGGCCGCTAAACACGCTTTTTCCACTCTTAAACCGAATCAACGTTACACACGACGTTTCCGCAGAGCCGGGTGTACACCGTGTGAAAAGCGAATACGTGACATACGAATCTTTCTTTGGAATTGGATCAACTACCTTGAGGGCAAATCGATCCAGTTCGGATTCGTCGTGACGTATACATTTTCAAACTGTGACAAGGCAAGTTTGCATCGTTCGCTCGGTGTACACCGGACCTTAAGAAACACGAAACTTGGAGTCAGAAAGGCACACATTCGGCGTTCGCTGTGCGTCCCGAGCTTCTCCTCCGTGAGAAACGCCGGCGGCTCGATCACCCGGCGAATTTCGCGCGAATGTCGGCGGAACGGCCGTCTCTCGGCTCGAGTCTGTCGAATTCGCGAGGAACGTGACGAAGGGCTAACATATGGCGGACGCGAGATCTCTCGCTGTCGCTCCTCGCGTATATATGTTTTTGTTACTTACAATGTGTACAAGCCTTCTCCTTCCTGTCGTCGTCGTCGGGACACTAGGCCACGGCACGTTTCACTTATCTTCCGAGAAGCCGCGGTCGTATATAGATGCGCGCAGATACGTTACATGGATGTATCCGGTCTCCGAGAGAGTTCAGCCGTCGTGAGTATGCCGCGCGTGACCGCCTCTCTCTGCTCTTATGACTGCACGTACCCGCCGTCGTCGTTCGTTCGTTCGGTTCCGCACTTAGCACGTGCCGCCGCTGCTTCTTGTACGTCGACGTACTACGTCGACGGGCCGAGAGATCGCCGGGCGCGATACGGTGCCGAATGTACGCGAAAGTCGCGGCTCTCTCGTTCTCGAACGACGACGACACTGTCGTGAATTCGTGTGCGTGCGCGCGCAATCAGAGCACCGTGAACTTGGCGATATTCGCGCGCGCGTCCGTAAGTCTCGCCGCCCGTCTGTGCGTCGACGAAGACGGGCAGGCCGGAGACCGTTTCGGAAACCGGAAGAAGCTTCGGCACAGCCGCCGGTGTACCGATCGCTTCCTCTTCTTCTTCTCTCTGTTCGTCGGTTCGCCGCTCTTTGTTCGCGGGCTCAGAGGAACCGAGAGAGAGAAAGAGAGAGAGAAAGAAAGAGAGAGAGAGAAAGACCGAAAGGAACGCTTCGCAACGTTCGCGAGAGCGAGTGTCGCGCGCAAATGTAATACGTATGTTGACCGGAACGGAGTCAGTAACACGTCAACGACACCACCAGTCGCCGCGGCGAACCAACTGACACTGACAACGGCACGTCAGATCGCTCGCGCGCACGCACCACCGCGCGCCCCCCACCCTCACCCTACCGTGAGCGCGACCGAGTCGATCTCCCACCCGACCGACTCCGCAGCGGCAGCACAGCGCGCGCTTGGTGTGTCCTCGTCGCCGGGCGCGACGTCGCGAGCGTTGGGTCGCTCTCCGCGGGCGCCCACACACTCGCTCGCTCTCTCGCGGGTCGCGCTGCAGCCGTTCCGTCACTCCAGCCGATCGAGATGTATCGGAGCGAGCGTGCTCTCAAAACGATACCCTCTCGTACGATTGCGCCGTACATTTTTTTTCAGATTACCATCCGATTTTTATGTCAATTACGGAAATATTCAATGTTAAGATTCGAAAAGCTGACGCATATATATATATATATATATATAGTGATAGAGAAAATTTTATCATTTAAATTCATCTACGGGCTTTTAAATGGGAAAAGGTAGTATGCGTAATACCGATTTACCTTTTTTATTAGCGTGAGATCAAGTTCGCCAAATTCACTATTGATTTTTCGTGGTATCATAAAATACAAAACGCGTGCTGTTTATATTAAATAATATTTCGCCGGTTTTTAATAAGTTATATTAGATATACAATCCATTTTATGTGCTTCATTGAAAATATCTGTATAGTGATACAAAAGGTGATATATATTGTAAATATATATGTATATTTATTTTCGTCGAATTGAACTTGTTTTGTTATCTTGACCCCTACTATGTTGCAGAATTAATGGTCTAATATAGGACGAAAATGTGGATTTTCCACTGTTAAGGCGCACCTCGCGCGATTGGTGTTAACATTCTCTCTCTCCGCGTATCCTCTCCATCTAATCATTCATTCGTTCTGACAAAATCGTCCTACAATAAACGAATATATTAGCTTAACGTGCCCTGTTGCACGTTCTACAGCGCTTCGCTTCACTATCCCGCGCGCTTTATCCTTCTCTGACGTACGCGCGACGTAGATACGACGTAGTCGCGTTAGCACAATCACCCGCGCCGCTCGGATTTTCGTTCGCGCGGAGAGCGCGCGGGACTCTCCGTGGGATCGCGAATGGAGCCCGAAAGAGAGAGTGGACTATTACAACGATGACGACGATGCCGCTACTTACAGCAAGTTGCGCGATCGATCGTTCCCGACTTCCGCGGTTTACCGGCCCTTTTCACGCGTCGCGGAACAGACGATCGGCTTCTTCGTCTTTTCTTTATCTCTCTTTCTCTCATTCGCTAAAATCTTCGGCCGCACGAAGGGCTCGTCCGCGGGATAACAAATCGCTCTCGGCGGACTTGCGAGAACGCAGAAACTTCGCGATATTACGTATTCCTCCAGCGATTTTCCTTCGATGGAAATTCATTTCCGTGGGCGTAAAAGCCGCGGGAAAAACACGCGCGCGATGACGGTAGTAGCAGTGGACGACGATGTGAAGGAACGAAGGAAGCGACGTGATATTATCGAGGCGCGCGCAACTCTTTTTTGCTCGCGCGCTTTCACGGACGGTAATCAAACGGGACTGTGACGGCGGCGGCTGCATCATCGACGCAATGTTACCGATAACGCCGAGATACGAATCGCAGGCATTATACGCGGCGAGACAATGTTGCGACGTTCCTGTCCCCGGCGCTTCTTACGCAACAGCCGGATCAATTACTCCCGCCTATAAGTGGGACAACTTCGACTCGTTATGCGGCCTTGTTTGCGCTCTTTATCTTCGAAATTGTTGCGATCCTCGAACACTATTGTCCCCTCTCCCTCGTTCTCTCTCTCTCTCTCTCTTCCTCTCTCTTTCTCTCGTTACGTCGATTCCTGTACATGCCCGCCCGCAGTTTCGCGCTCGGAAGTGTACTCGCCGCTGTGTTTCCAACAGCTTCTAGAAACGACGAACTATAGGCATCGATGTTAGATAAGAAGTTATAGCCACCTGTTTCTCGCAACCTACAGGCTAAATACGTCCTTCCGCGCTCAAAGGGCTATCGTTCCACTTATTTATCGTATTTCTCATCGAATTTCCAGTGGGTTATCGCGTTTTTCTATTTTTCAAATGACAACGACTTGTCGGAGATTGTAACGCGGAAAAATAGTCGACGTTTACGCCTGAGAGAGAGAGAGAGAGAGTGGGGGAGGGGTAAGCTTCGTTCTCTCGCGATAAAAGGTATATACGAGAGTGCGAATTGCATTCGTGAAATTTCTTATCACGGTGTAAAGAGCTCGCCCGAGGTGGATTAATAAGAACGCCGAGATGTCAACAGGTCAATAATATGCCGCAAAATGATGCTTCCTCTCCCTCTCTCTCTCTTGGAGAGAATTGTCTGTTTCAATCTTGTAAGGAAAGGCCGCAATGAGCTCTGCAACAAGGCAATGAATGGCATGAATAAAACGTAGATTGAACCTAGAAGTGCACACTTTGCGAACGCGAATATTTGCTTTGATATTAAACTCAGCTCGGGAAAACTTGGATATTAAAGTTACATCATTAAACATACCGCGAACACGGGCGGTGAGGGCGAAGGATATATTTGTGCACATTTCCGATCGCGATACGTACGTATTTCCACACCTGGAGACTATAGAATCGTACTTTTCTTTTTTCTGCGTAGGAATATTCAGTGTAAACATAATAAAGATATCGGCTTTAACCCTTTGAGTACTGAATTATTTTAAGATTTTTACGCCCATGGGACGGATTTAATTTGTCGCTATATGGATTAATATGTAAAAGTAACACATTTTATGCCCAAGTAAGCAGAGTCTCACTCGTCAAATGTACCGAAAGGGTTAAAGACGGAGAGCGTGTGGTCTCGGTAACAATATGTAATCTCGCTTACCTAATTAAGCCGTTATCTTCGGTTATAACCTATCGCAGGATAGACCGGCCCGCGCGCCGAAGGACTTCGACTGCTATTATTAGCCGCCAAATCCAATTGCGGGATACAATGCGCGCATTTCAGCGTGGGATCGAGTCGCGATCGCGGGTCTCGCAATCGCGAGCCGGAACTCCAGATCTGCCGCGCGCGAGTGAAAACGCTGATCTTCACTCGCAATAATTCTTTCCTATTTTTTTTTTCTTTTTTTTTTTCGTGCCGACTCGAATGTAAAAGTTTCCGCGTCGATAAGCGTGCGAGAACACTCACGGCGGAGACTGCCTTCGAGAGGAAGCAATTCACGTGAGAGAGAGAAAAAAAGAAGGAATTGTGTCTCCCGCGATATCGCAGCGAGACGGTGATATTATTTTAATATGGCGCTCGCGAGAGATCGAATGCGTCAGCCGCGGTCCTCGTCGCGTGGATCCGATGACGATGAACTAGGGAGCATTCGCGCGGGAAAAACTCTCCTCGGCAGGGTCTCGAAGACATTTTTAGGTCAAACAGTTATTGCAGGTTATTGACTCGGCATCGGATCGTTACTTTCACGTCATAGTGTGCTTTTAAATCGTAGCGGCCGGTTAATCTATTCTCGGACGCGCTATACCGTCGATGTAACAATCCTGCCATTCATCGTTAGGCGAAGAATGTAAGGAAGCGGTGATACATTTTTTAGATGTCCACAGGTCGACGCGCGTTCCGCTCGCAAGAGTCACCGGCTATGAAAGAGTGGTCTGTAAAAAAAGATCCGCTCCGGCTGATCATCGTTCGCAACATCTCCTCGTCGCTTCGATCCGAGTTGAGATTTTCCCGCTACTCGGACGCTCTTTTAAGGATAGTTTGCGCCTACTTGGCGCACAAACGATGGCCTATAGACTGGTAAAAATCTAGTTTGACAGTACACTTGTTATCTTCTCTCGTGAATTCTACTCCCTTTCGGCAGATTTAATTTTCATGTTACTTTGGGGCTGAACGAGTGTTCTCGCGATTATTAAAATTACTATGAAATTATTAATGCGCACTGAATTCATCATTATTCACGAGAAGCTTCCACATACAACACCTAACGGACGTTATTGTATATAACTAAAGTCGCCGTGCATAAACGCATTCTCCCTCGCGTCGGGTCGCGGCGCACGTATTCAATTTGTAATTTACACGACGCCGGCCGCGCGAAATAGGATTACACCCGCGACGGTAACTTTGCACAGCGGTTAATAAAGCTTTCCAGACTAGTAATGTAACGACGCTTTCGAAAGTAGTTTCAGTTAAGTCGTAAGCTTCAACTTCGGTGTTTTACTGCCATCCACCGTCGAGGATGAGGTCTCGGTAAGTTTTTCCCATTTTTTTCCCCTTACTATCATTATTGTTACCATTGTTCTTACCAGCGTTATCATTTAATCCCAGCTCGCGGGCGACGCCAAATCCGCGGAGGCATCGGAGCGTCGCTTATTCCGAAAGCAGCGACGCTCCGTAGTACGAACGCGCGCGAGAGACGACGGGAGATAGCGTAACAACGTCGCGCTCGGACAGCGCGAGCGAAGTGAAGGTGTTGATGACGTAATATGCGCACGGCAGCAACTCTGCGATCCGCGTGGTGAAGTGGAGAGTTACTCGCGACTGCGGTGCGTACTGAGAGAAGAGATAGAAAGAGAGGGAGAGATAGAGAAGAGAGAGGATGAGGTGGAGGTGGGATATATGAAGAGTGAGAGAGTCAGTGACCAAGAGAGGCGAGGGGGTGTGGAAGTGCGCACAAGCGCAACGGCATGCAATGCTGCGCTGGGCTGCGTTGCGCCGTCGCTACAGCGACCGTCAAGGACGTTTGCTGCGCGAAGAGAAAGAAAAAGCCAGAGCGAGATGCAGAACGAGGATAGAGAGAGAGGGGGATGGGGGGGAGAATGCAACGAAAAGAGCGGAGCGGAGAGAGAGAGAGTGCGAGGAACTCGCGAGAGAGTTCCCTCTATCGCGCGCGCGCACACACCCGCGGAATCGACGAATTCGAGCCTCTCGATCCCGGCCTCGAGCGGCCTTGAATGTGTCGCGCGGCGACTCTTGGGCGGGATGGAGCGAGATCGACGGCGATCAACTTCCAGGGCGTTCTCCTTCGCGCTCATTTGCCGCGCCTGTGTTTTATCCTTTATTCTTTATTATACGCGAAGCATTATTTATATACCAAGTGCGTCGGAGAACGATGCGCGTGCGTATGTATGTGTGCACGTGCATTCGACGATATCGAACGCCGGGTGAAATTGCATTTT